CGGGCTGCTTGGGGCGAGAAACAGATTTTGCTGGAAAAGGGCTCCTCTGTGCTCTGCCCTGCCGAGGGCACCCACCTGTTGCACCCTGGGCACTCCCAAAATGGGGCTGGTTCCCTCCCTCGCCCCAGCCCTGCGCGACTGGCAGCAGAAGTGGCACAGGAGAGAAAGTGAAAGGGATGAATCCAGCCAAAAAGCCAGGCAGTGGGAAACAGTGGCCTGGCACCGTTGCCCTCCCTGTGTGCCTGGGGCTGAAAGCAGCTGCAGGGACAGGCAGCAGCTGCAGTTCCCATGGTGGGTGCAGCCCTCCCCCTCTCCGGCCCCCAGCCTGGGGGTGCTGAGGTTGCTGCAGGGTGCAGGGGAGGCACCCCAGAACCTGGGACCTGGAGAGACACTGGCTCCCGGGGGGGGGAGCCTGGCGAGGCAGCCAAGGATGCCTGGGCCAGCCTGTCCCCTTGTCCAGCCTCGGTTGGGGGGGGGGACTGCTCCTCACTGCTGGGCTGGGGGTGGGGGGGAGGAGGCAGAGCCTGGCAGAGCTGCCCAGACAGGTCGTGGCAGGGGACTAGTGGCACTGGGAGCAGGGCCCCAGGCTGCCCCAGTTCAGGGTGGCAGGGGCAGGACACTATTTCCCATCCCCTATTTTTCCCCAGCCGCTGCAGCGGAGCCAGTGCCAGGATCCTGAGGCCATCTGGAAATGCTCACTGACAGAAGTGAGGGACCGCGCCAGAGACAAAAAACCTGGCATTTCAGCAGCTGGGCTCAGAGCCATAGTGCTGCCTTCTCCTCCCATGGCCTCTTGGGGCTCCCTGCTGCCTCCTGCTCTGCCCTGCTGCCAGCCTGGGGCACCCAGTGGGTCCCAGCTGTGGGGCTGGCACCAGCATCCCCAGGGAGGCATTGCACCCCACAGGCTTCAGCAAAGAGGCATTTGCCCCAGGGCCCTGTCTCGCTGTCCTGCTGTGTCCTCGGGTCCCTGTGGCATGCAGGAACCCCCCCCCCCCAAGGGAAGCTTGGCAGGAAGGGATGGGCTGTTGGAGCTGCCCCCAAACCAGGATCCTTGCACCTCCTGGCAGCTTGGCTTCATGCAAGTCCCGCTCAGCCCGGGCCCTGCCAGCAACTGGGCAGTCATACCAGGAGCCTCCCCGCCTCTGTGGCTTCCCAAAATAGGCTGGAGGAGCCAGACCTGGAAAAGCCCCTTGATCTCAGCTTCCTCTAGGCTCTGCTGTGGCCAGAGCAGTCCTGGCCATGGGAAGTCCCAGCACATGGAGCCTAGTGAGGAGCTGGGGCTCCTCTTGCACTTGGTCCACAGCCCAAATCCTGCCAGCTTGGCTGGTGCCAGGCATACTGGCATGAGGGCACCATGGCTGGCAGAAAGGCTGTCTGGCCGCTGTCCTCAGCCATCCTGTGCCTGCTTACCTCCCCCGCCCCGGGGCCCCAAACACTCAGCTCTGGCTTGGGTGAGAGTGGAGCCTATAGCTGTGTGACCCAAGGTGCCGAGGCATCTCCCAGCTCCCTGGGCTGGAAACGAGTGTTGGGGTTGTCGAGGGGAGGAGGACCTCAGAGCAGGGTCCACCTGCTCAGAGAAGGAGCCGGGGAGCTGCAAAAGGAGCCTCCACCCTCCTCCTCTCTGTCTGGGGCATGCTCCCCCTCCTGTGTGCTGTGGGGGAGAGGACCTGGAAAGCAGAGAGGAAGCGGGGCTCAGCGCAGAGGAAAAGCTCATGTTCAGAAACACCGACCGGCTGGCCTCAAGGCCAGAGGAAATTCAGTTGGGGGAGGACGGAGGGAAGAGCCGTTTGGCAGCAGGAGGGTTCGAACTCACTGCCTGCAAATCCTGCTGGCAAGGTCAGAGGCCTCAGGTACTGCTGGGACAGTGGGGATGGGATGCTCCTGCCCATCGCTGAGAGGTGCTGGGGCTGATCTCCCAGCAGTGCCTAGGGACCCCAGTCTCTTCAATGCAGACATGCCCACTGCTCACATCTGTAAACCCAGAGACATCGCCTCTCATCCACCCCACAGCCACCAGCCCCTTCCTCTCGGGGATGGACCCTTCGTCTCAGGGGAGTTAGGTCATTTCTGGGGACATGAGGGCAACATATGAGGTGATAGCAGAGTCCCCTTGCTCCCCCCAACGACAACAGCTGGTGCCTGCACCAGCATACACAGTTCACCCATCCCACCCGAGGTCACTGAAAGCTGGATGTGTGTCCTCCAGGAGTGTAGCATGGCTAAGGCCCGCTCAAAGGACCAGTACTGATGGAAAGACTGGGTGAAAAGCATCGTGCGAGGATTAGAAAGCACACTCCAAACACCTTTCACTGCTCTGCCTACTGTTGCACCCTGCAACACTCTGAGCAACCTCCCCCCCCCCAAATCAGCCTGGACAGGGCAGACCAGCCCCACAGCCCCAGTCCGTGCTACCCTCTACTGCACTGCTCTTGCCCCCAGCCTCGCCAAACCTTAGGCAACCTCACTCAGTCAAGCTAAGCTGGGGCTACCATGTGCCCCAAGCCTCCCCCTTTCCCCCAGCCTACAGTATAAGGGGTCTTGCTGGTCTCGCAAGGGGTTCCAGAGCAACTCCCTCTGCTGGGGAAAGCGAGGTCTATTTTAGCACAGTGCCACTTAGTGTCCATCAGCTTCTCACCTCCAGCAGCTCCAGGGTCATCCCCATCATGTCCCGGGGTTAGTTCTCAGGGCACACAGCCATTCCCTCATCCAAATAAAACCTTGCTTGGGTGGTCCCATTTTGCAGCTTGCCTGGGGAAGCTCTAACCCCTCTCTCACGCACACCAGCAGGGCAGAAAGATCTGCTCTCCTTGTGTGCAGAAGTGGCCAAAGTCCCCAATATGGTCATTCATTTTTCCTGGGCAGTGGCCAATGGCAAAACTCAAAATAAATATTTCCCTCGCCTCCAGCACCACCCGCCCCATGCTAGACAACAGCTGCAGAGGATTAATGTCAGCTAGGAGGAACAACCCCTCTACAAAGAAGGCAACGTTTGGCCCAAGACATCCAGGGAGAAACAGAAAGGGAGACAGAGAGAAGCAGAGTTTGGCTCAGATTTTGGTGATTCCTGAAGATCCCCTTGATGATCAGATCAGAAGCAAATCTGACTTTCTCCTCTGCAAAGTAAGGAAAGGAGAAACCACAATATGGTCCATGAAGGTCATCTGTCACTCACTCTCACTGCACATGCTGGGGAGCCCAGCCTGGGACCCTGCTCCTTTACATAAGGTGCTTAGGTCAGGATCTGCTTAATGTGAACAGGACAAAGCAAAAAACAGACCTAGGAAGGGGAAAGTCACAGGTGGGGACAGATGCTGGGACCCTAGCTCCCATACCAGTTTCCAGCTCCACTGAGCTGGACTGCATCTTGCCTGCACCGCTTCTGTCTCAGCTGTAGTGTGCGATGGGTGGAAAGGTTTCTAGGAACACCCCGTCATCCACTTTCCCTGCTGGAAGCCATTCACTGCTGCCACCTGGCAGGGCAGAGCTGCCCCAAGGAGATCAGGGGGCAAGAAAAGTCCCAGAGTTG